TTCTTTCTTTCTTTCTTTCTTTCTTTCTTTCTTTCTTTCTTTCTTTCCAGACCCCTGTTTTCCCTTCTCTTAATTTTCTATTGTTTCTTTTTGTGTTTTTATCTTATCATAAACTTTAATATAAGGACTTTTTAAAAATACAGAGATCAATTAATTCAACTTTCGGGAAAGAAAAGGTTCATTTGTATATCCCTGATAGTTAAAAAAGAGAGACCTGCAATAATCTTTTATGACATGCAACAAGTCTTGCATGCTGTTGACTGCTATTTCCCTCTATCAAATGTCAGAACTGGCTCCAATGAACTTGCAGCCATGGTCGACTCTAATCCCTGTTTTCATTGCTCAGTAACTCTCTCTTCTGAATTAACATATTCAGGGCATAATGTTAGACCCAAAGAACTAAGAGTGACACATGGAGTTACTTCTGATTAACTGCTTTATAGTTGCAGGATCCAATCTTGGTTGGTCAGTGGGACCAGAGGCTTTGGCTTCTCAGCTTTCAGGCTCATGCTGGAGCCCATTTTCTAGGCTTGTGCTAGAGCTAGAGAGAAGGGCTCCAACACAAGTCTGAAAGCTCAGAAGACAAAACCTTTGGTCCCAGTGACCCACCCAGATTGGATCCTGAAGCATGATCCCGGGACATATATATTCACCTTCATTTGTGCTTTATAGTTGTTTGCCTTACAGACAGAATCTTGCCAGACTAAAGCAATTATCTACAATAACTATAGATATGCTCTGTGAATTGCTAGGGAGGGTCCAATCTTGCTCTCTTCCTGCCCACCGGACATTCTAAACCAGAGGTCTCATTCTCGCGGCCCGCGGGGCAATTGCGGCCCGCAGTCCGATATCCTGTGGCCACCACCGTGATATGGAAGTATAATATTAATGCGTTCTCCATGCGTCGCTAGCTGGCTAAACACTTCTATGGGCGGCCCAGCCTCACCTGGACTCTGCCTCCAGTGGCCCCCCAGGTAAATTGTGTTTGAGACCCCTGTTCTAAACTCTGTTGTCCCTTTGCTCTCTAGCCCCTCCTTCCTGTAACTCCAGGCGACCTTCTGTCACATATACTCACCCAAGAAGTCTGATATGTTACCGGAAAAAGTGTAGTTGACTATAGGAGATTTCTCTATTGCTTCCCATAGATTGGTAAGATTTCTGCCTATGGAGAGAGAAAAAAATTGTGGGGAGATGAAAATATCATCATTGCTTTTGGTTCAGTGACAACTATAGCTAGTGATCAGCTCATTGCACTGAAGTTGCCTGTAACAGTAACCTGAGCATGACAAGGTTGAAAAACTTTGATTCCCCATAATCCAGAGCAAACAAAATATCATTACCTTTGCAAAATTTAACACCGTATATCTATATCTACATTTGTAATCTATATCTACTGTATATCTATGTTTATATCCAGATGGGGCATAGAGGGTAGATGATAAATGATGTGCTGCTCTGTGGGCTCCAAGTGTGTCAGCAGAGCTAGGTCTTCAAGCATTTCAGAGAGACAAGGACGGTGGGGGCCTACCAGAGGTGAGATTCAAAAAATTGTTTACTACCAGTTCTGTGGGCGTGGCTTGGTGGGCGTGGCAGGGAAAGGATACTGTAAAATCTCCAGTCAGAGGTAGGATTTGCCAGTTCTCCAAACTACTCAAAATTTCCGCTACCGATTCTTCAGAACTGGTCAGAATCTGCTGAATACCACCTCTGCTCAGGACAGGGGCATAGGACAAAAAAAAAGGCTCTCTTCCTGGGCCCTACCAGTTGGAGTTCTTTCATTGATGGAATCCACAGCGTACCTTTCCACTCTGACTAGATGGGGCAGGCTGATAAAATGGGGCAGCCACAGCTCTGCAGGTCACCTGGCCCACGCCAGGTAGGGCTTTAAAGGTCATTGCCAATACCTTGAATAGAACCTGGAAGCAAACTGGCACCTAATGCAGCTTACGCAGCAGAGACAGAGGTGGTATTCAGCAGGTTCTGACCAGTTCTGGAGAACCGGTAGCGGACATTTTGAGTAGTTCGGAGAACCAGAAAATACCACCTCTGACTGGCCCCGCCCCCATCTATTCTCTATCTTATGAGTCCCAGCTGATTGGCCAGGTCTTCTTTTGTTGCCCTGCACAGGAGAACGGAGCTGGAAAGCAGGTTAGTGGGGTGGGGAGGGAATGGAGATTTTGCAGGATCCTTCCCCTACCATGCCCACCAAGCCACGCCCACAGAACCAGCAGTAAAAAAAGTTGAATCCCACCACTGAGCAGAAGAGTTCCATGTACCATCCTTGGAGCACCCAAGATAGTGCATGCAGCTGCATTCTGTATCCCCTGAAGCTTCCGGATATTTTTTAAAGGGAGTCCCTTTGCAATAGTCCAAATGGGAGATGATATGTGGGTGAGTGACCGAGCAAACGGCCTCTCAATCCAGGAAGGGATGTAATTGATCCACAACACAAAGTGGAGCAAAATAAGCCTCTCCCCTCAAAAACTTATTTACCTTGAGCTAACAGAATAACAGAGTTGGAAGGGACCTTGGAGGTCTTCTAGTCCAACCCCCTGCTTAGGCAGAAACTCTGCACCACTTCAGACAAATGGTTATCCAACATCTTCTTAAAAACTTCCAGTGTTGGAGCATTCACAGCTTCTGGAGGCAAGTTGTTCCACTGATTAATTGTTCTAAGTGTCAGGAAATTTCTCCTTAGATCTAAATTGCTTCTCTCCTTGATTAGTTTCCACCCATGGCTTCTTGTCCTGCCCTCAGGTGCTTTGGAGAATAGCTTGACTGCCTCTTCTTTGTGGCAGCCCCTGAGATATTGGAACACTGCTATCATGTCACCCATAGTCCTTCTTTTCATTAAGTAAGACATAACCAATTCCTGAGCTTAAGTAAAATGGTATAATCCAAAACTGGGAGGGGGAAGAGAGGTAGATTGAGAAAGAGGAGACATACACACATATATGAGGTTGAACTCTAAATAGTACATTCCTGAACAAAGAAGAATCTCAGGTTTACCTATTCGTCCTGATATGACACAAATGTAGATGCAGTCTGTATCATTGCTCTGGCTCACTGAAAGAAGACAATTGTTTTGTTGACTTATTTAAGGTTCCTTAAACGGGAACTAAAATCCAAACTGAAGCTAATTTTCAATTCGCATAGGAAAGGAAATAGCAAAAACTAAAAAAACAAAAACAAACCCCAAACCCTCTCTCTGAGGTTCTAAAATCAAAATGCTGCTAATGCCAAGGGATAACAAAAAAACAAATAATTATAATTTATACGGTGGCGCAGTGGTTAATTAGAGTGCAGTATTGCAGGCTACTTTTGCTGACTGTCGGCTGCCTGCAATTTGGCAGTTCGAATCTCACCAGGCTCAAGGTTGACTCAGCCTTCCGTCCTTCCGAGGTGGGTAAAATGACGACCCAGATTGTTGGAAGCCACAGGCTGACTCTGTAAACTGCTTAGAGAGGGCTGTTAATATAAGTCTAAGTGCTATTGCTATTGCCAAATGCAAAAGGAAATGATTTTGCGGAGGCTTAGGGTTTTTGCCTGAAATTTGGCCTGAAATTGCTTTTATTTAATTGGTTCTACAGTTAAAGGACTGAGCTATGGATTGGAAAGAATGCTGGCTTGATTCTATTGTGCAAAGCTATTCTCCATAAAATTCAAAGAGGCTTATGTTAAAATTACACCAATTAAAATATTATTAAAAAATGTACTAGCATTGAAACCAAGAGAGCTAAGAAATGGATGGGATGGGATGAGGTCTTCTTACCCCACCAGCCTAATGTTCTTTCCTAAGTTACATTCCCGTCTTCCTCATTTTCTTCATCTAGTCATGTGGAATAAGGTTGATCAGCCAAAGAGACAGCAGCAATTCTTACCTGACACAATGGAAGTCGACTTGAAAATCTCAGTAAGATAACTAGTGGAGTTTCCCACAATGTCCACCAGCAATGCTGTAAAATCTAGGAAAGTAAAGAGAAGCATTTTGACATTCCAATGTTGTTCTTTCTTCCTATGGAAGACAATATCTGTAGCTCGGGGTTGAACTGTGGAATCATTGAGGATCTCTGAACTTGGATGTTTGCTTGCAGACATTTCATTACCCAACTAGGTAATATCCTCAGTGTTGATGTTGTCACCAAGTTAGATAATGAGACATCTGCAGGCAAACAGCAAAGCTCAGAGACCACCCAGAATTCCACTGTTTTCTTTCTACTTTTGAAGCAGAGAAAGTGTGGATTCAAAAACCTAAGAGATAGTTGCAATAAACAAGTTTGCATAAAACCTGTGGACTAAGCCTGCTACTTTCACCTTGGAAAATAGACTGTTGTGGGATCACTGAACGCAAAGTTTAGTTCACATGGTTCAGATTCTTCTATTCATTTTCAAGGCTGCTTAAACATATAGTATTCAGGGTCTACTTAACAGCATTATGGGCCCTGGGCAAAGGAGTGTACTGGGACCCCTATGACAACTACTCACGGGAATAAAAATGTAAATGGTCAATAAAATTAAACATATATTTGCATGTTAGTATTGATTTTAAAAATGCAGTAAAATGTAATAAATGTTGCTGTATTTATATGATACAAGGTGCATTGAAGGGTGAACATACACAGATTAGTATGGGGCCCCTATGCTCGTGGGGCCCTTGGGTAAATGCCCATCAGGCCCATGCATTAAGACAGCCCTGGTGATATTCCTTTGTAGGAAGTAAATCCCAGCTGTACTGTAATTTTTCTCTTTGTAATTTCTTTGATAGCAGGCTATGAACCGAATCTCCTAAACCCAGGTTAGGACAATCCTGACATAAGATCTTCACATCAATTGTTGCTTAAAGTTTTTTTTTTTCTCTTCACAAAGGATCATTTGAAAATTTATTTTGTATGGAGAAGATATGGTGAGGTGGTATTCAGCAGGTTCTGACCAGTTCTGGAGAACCGGCAGCAGAAATTTTGAATAGTTCCGAGAACTGGCAAATACCATATCTGACTGGCCCCGCCCCCATCTATTCTCTGCCTCCCGAGTCCCAGCTGATCAGCTGGGTCTTCTTTGGTTGCCCTGCATAGGAGAACGGAGCTGAAAAGCAGGTTAGTGGGGTGGGGAGGGAATGGGGATTTTGCATTAACCTTCCCCCAGGAGTGGGGAGGGAATGGAGATTTTTTTTTAAAAAAAAACTTTATTGATTATAAAACTAAAATATCAAACAAACACATACACAACACACAGAAGAAGAAGAAGAAAACAACTAGGAAAAAAGAAAATGATTAAAAACTAACAATTCTACTATCGACAGTCTATGGTTCCTTGTTTGTTATCAGTATTGGTGATACATTTACAAATACATCTTACTGCGAATATATAATTACTGGGAATGGAGATTTTGCAGTATCCTTCCCCTGCCATACCCACCAAGCCATGCCCACAGAACTGGTAGTAAATTTTTTTGAATCCCACCATTGGTGAGGGTGATTATGGAGTGACTTCAGTTAATCAAATACTAATAAATTTAATTGTCATATCAATAGAAATCTGTTCTGTTCTTAACAAGAAAAAAATGCTAACATCTACTGAACGTATAAGACAAAAGAAACAATTAGGAAGACTGTTCTTTCTTTTTGTAACTTTTTCACCTCTTTCACCATCAATATATTGTCTGTATGAAACTAAAGACTGAAAAATTACATCTCTTTTGAACTTCTTCCATTCCATAACTTGCCTGTTAAGTCGTTAGTCCTGTTGTTTAAGCAATAGCAGTGTCGTGTGGAGAACTTGGTAGGGTCTATGTTCCTTAAGCTGGATACTGCAAAGAATGAAATATTATGAAACATAAAATCTTATCCACCAAAAAAATAAGAGTTTGGTCTAGGGGCTGGATTAGAAACTAGGATACTGTGAGTTCTAGTCCTATTTTAGGCATAAAAGCCAGGTGGGAAACTTTGGGCCAATCACCAGGTGATAGTGAGTTCTAGTCCCACCTTAGGCATGAAAGCCAGCTGAGTTTGGGTCAATCCAACTCACTTCACAGTATTGTTGTCATAGGGAAAATTGGAGGAGAAAGGAGTTTTACTATAGATATTTTAGCACTTTGAATTACTTATAAAAATAATAAAGCAGGATATAAACAAACGAACAAAAACTCTATTAGGTCCCAACTATCATTAACTTACTGTTGTACAGGACAATGGAAACCTTTTGGAAGGCATACGAACTATAAGATACAATACTCAGCAAGGAGAAGAATTCTTTAGTTCCTGTGGAAATACAATTTACAAACAATCACCCCACTCATAATTAAAAGAGCCACAAGGAAACTAATTTTCTATCCCTCTTATGTATAGCTGCTAAAATTCCTCGTGAATACTTTGGCACCACGGGAATCCACAGCACAGTTCACCCCCTGAGATTCTGATTAAAATTTATTCTCTGCAATCCCCGGTGAGTGGAGAAGAAAGACGCTGCCGTGTCAGCAACCCAGCAAGAGATGAAGAATTGGCAGGTAAGACTCAGAGCTGGGTAGATTTGGGGGAATCTGGGAGTACAAAGATGCTTGCGAATAAATATTTATGGGGCTTGCAGGGGAAGCAGTTGCACTCTTTTTAGATACTTTCATGTTTCTGGTGATGCCATCAGATTTCTGACTTTGAAACATCAAGACATAATAGAGCGGGGGTTGGTCCACATTATATAGAAGCTGTGGTGGTGCAGCTGTTAGAATGCAGTATTTCAGGCTCACTTTCCCCACTGATCGGAGTTTGATCCTGACCAGTGTTCTGACTCAACCTTCGCAAGTAGTGAAAAGATGTTTACTCTCAAGTAAGGTAACCCCTTTTTATAACAGGGCAGTAACAGCCTTTTATTCACAAGGATAAACCAAAATCAAATGTAATTTGTCCCAACAAACCTGGGTTTAGCCAAGGAATCTGAACTGCTTGCTATACACTAGAAAACAAATGGTTGTCTGTGACAACTGGCCACTCCCAAACCCTTCATATTTCTTTTCCTGCCAGGGAGAGTGTCATGCCCCTGTCTGAGTCTGATTCCAAGGGGGAGGGCGAGCAGGATGGGGAGTGGGAGTGTGGCTCCATTGGCTGTGGAAGAAACTGGGGAAGGGCAAAGTCCGGCTGGGCAGAGCAGGGGAGAGGTAGAGCAAGGGAGAGGGAATTCAGAGGAAGACTCAGGGCCACCCGCTCTTCATCCTAGGCCACGCAGGGAGGAACAGAGAAGGGAGCAACGTGAGTTGCATGGCTTACAAAGGAGGAAAGGGCCCTGATTCCCTTCATTAGCTGCAGCTGGGAACACAGTGTTTTAAAAGGGAAGTTGAGCACAGCAAAGTTGTTGGAAGCAAATCGTAAGTTATCTGTTATTGTTGAGGCTTATCTGAGTGGCTGCCATCTTCCCTGGCCTGTCAAGTTAATTGCTGCAGCATGGTTTGTGTGGATTTTTATTTACAGTTTGTATGTACTTTATTTTCGGACTGAATTTCCTTCACTTAAAGACTGTTCTGTTTTTTTCTCCAGCTGAAGGTAACCTGGACATTTGGGGCAAAGTTGGTGGTATTAAAGGAACTCTTTTTACTTATTTGACTGCATTGCCTTTGTGCAACACCACGGGTCATCACAGAGGGGCTGGCTATCGTCTGCATCTGCTTCTCCCTGAGAGCTGGCTTATTGCTTTCCTTTGCTCTCCGCTCCTTTCCTCTCTGTGCATATCCACATCTGGGATGGGCCCCATCTGTTCCTCCCCTTCACTCAGCTCAGACCCTGAAGAAAGCTGCCCCTCCCCAACTGGGGGAGGATGAAAAGCCCCATCTCTGTCTCTTTCTCTGATGCTGTTTCCTTATCAGCTCCTTCCAAAGGCTCCGAAGCTGGCCTAGGTTCTTTCTCAACATCCTCCTCACCAGATCCTGCTACTAGCTCTGCTGGCAACCAACGGTACACAACAACCAGCCCAAGTTTAACTCAGCCTTCCATCCAGGGGTGGGCTGATGGGGGTTCGCAGGTGTTCGGGAGAGCCCCTAGCTAAGATTCTGTGCATATCGGAGAACCCCCAAATCCCATTCCTGGCTGGCCCTGCCCACCTCACCCTGCCACACCCAGGAGTCCCCACGCAGCCTGTACAGGGCATGTGCAGAGTCTCGGGGAGGGTGAAAAACGGGCCTCCTGGAACTCCAGGAAGGCTGGAAATGGGCCTATTTCTGGCTTCTGGAGAGGCCATTTTCTCCCTCCTACACTCCCTTCCCAGTGGTGCAGGAGGCTGACTAGGCCACACCCACCATGGCCATACCCACCCAGCAACCAGGCAGAGAACCCTTTGCTAAAATTTTTGAAGCACACCCCTGATTCCATCCTTCCAAGGATGGCTAAATGAGGACCCAGATTGTTGGGGGCAATATGCTGACTCTGTAAACTACTTAGAGAGGGCTGTAAAGCATTATGAAGTGGTTTATAAGTCTAACAGCTATTGCTATTGCTATATTTTCTTGATAAGGACAAAAAGGTTAGAGCAGGGTTTTGGGCCAGTGGCTTCACTTCACATGCATTTCTCTTTTCCTATTTCTTTGTCTGCTGGTGGAATGTGATTCACCAAAGAGAAAACAAAATCATCAAACGAGAAACTACCTCTGAGAGCGGTGTTTAGCATGCTGTTCACCATCCCTGTCAGGTTCATCGCTGCCAAATCAACCAATTTTGCAGGGAGCTCTGAAAAAGAAATGTACAAATAGTCCTTGATTTGCAAACATTCATTTAGTGTCCGTTCCAAGTTACAACGGCAGTCTCAGCTCAACCAAGCCACACAAACATAGGATGAATATGGACAGTTGCTGTTTTGGGTTGAGCTCCTGATGAGCATGAGGGAAAAAAATTCCAGGTGCTTCAGTGAGAGATGGGAAATGTCCTGTTTACTAATACATTTCTGCTGGAAGCACCTACCAAGGCACTTCTGGGTTATAAGCAGAGGTGGTATTCAGAAGGTTCTGACCAGTTCTAGAGAACCAGTAGCAGAAATTTTGAATAATTCAGAGAACTGGCAAATACCACTTTTAACTCGCCCTGCCTCCCCCATCTATTCTCTGCCTCCCAAGTCCCAGCTAATTGGCTGGGTCTTCTTTTGTTGCCCTGCACAGGAGAACGGAGCTGGAAAGCAGGTTAGTGGGATGGGGAGGGATTTTGCAGTAACCTTCCCCCAGGAATCGGGTGAGAATGGAGATTTTGCAGTATGCCTGCCACGCCCACCAAGCCATGGCCACAGGTAGTAAAAAAATTCGAATCCCACCACTGGTTGAAAGAATTACCCAATAACATTAGCATTGCCCAGAGGTCGTCCAAGGGGCTCCTTTCATGTCCCTGTTATTTTCCCACTGAAAAAAGTGATACTTATTTATCTATGTGCACTTGCTTGCTTTCGAACTGGTAGGTGGGCAAGAGCTGGGATAAATTGATGAGAGCTTGTTCCGTCATGCAGTTCGCTCACGGGTTTTGAACTCCTGAGCTATTAACCTCTCAATGGTCATTTGTCTCAGCGTCCTAACCACACGAGCCACCATGGCCCCATATGTGCTGGCTAAAACCCTGAAGACCTGCTAGGACTGTCTCTTGGCAATATTCGGCTGTAGGCAGCAATCACTGCATGGTCACTTTTGGACCATTTGGGGCATGCATGCAATGTCAGAATCCACATAGAAAAGAGTTTGCGCTATGGCCTTCCTTCTTTCTCCTTTTCTTAACAGAATAACAGAGTTGGAAGGGACCTTTGATGTCTTCTAGTCTAGTCCAACTCCCTGCTCAGGCAGGAAACCCTATACCATTTCAGACAAAGGAACTCTCCTCCTCTTCTTCTTCTTCTTCTTCTTCTTCTTCTTCTTCTTCTTCTTCTTCTTCTTCTTCTTCTTCTTCTTCTTCTTCTTCTTCTTCTTCTTCTTCTTCTTCTTCTTCTTCTTCTTTTTCCTCTTCCCCTTCCCCTTCCCCTCCTCCTTCACTCCTTCTCCTTCTGATCCTCCTCCTCCTCTCCTCCTCCTCTTTCTTCTTCTCCTCCTTCTTTCTTCTTCCTTCTTTTTTTCTTCTTTCTTGTGTTTCTAGTTCTAGTGACATCACCATCTCTCGTGATGAGTATCTCCAGGAAAGGTAGCGTGTTGCCGTTTTTTTCTTCCCTTGTACATTTTATACCTTTGGACTCTGGAGATGTTGTTGATGGTTTTGTTCATGTCCTCTAGTTGGTTCTTTTTTTAATTACGACAAAGGTGTCATTTTACATAATGGAACTTCTCTTATCATATGTCTCCCTGTCCATCTGTCTTGTCTATTTATTTTTATCTACCTAGTTTGTATACACAAACATACACATACAAACAAACACAAAGGTGCCTAGCTATCAAATTGATACATACAAAAGCGGCATATGTTTGCATGAATGCTCATGTACAAGAGCAGAATCAAATGAGACCATTAAAGTAGGTCAGCAAAGGAAAAGATTTTATAAATCTGGCTGCATATTTCTTACTGGCTATTTAATCTTACAGTATGCAACTCATAATCAGTTTGGTAGAATAAATTTGATTTCTGCTGGTGGGAAACTCACCCCAATCCCTAAATTGCCTTGAATGACTACCAGACAAGAATTAAAGAGAGTGATAAGCAGCTGTAGGAAAATATTACAGTCTACTTGCAATAGAGAATCATAATTTTCTTACAATGCCATTGTTGATTACCGTCTAATTCTGCCACCGTTGCAACAATTCTGCCATTTCTAATTCAGAACACATTTGCAGAAAGACAGGGAGGAAATGAGTTATTCAACAAGAATTTACCTGCAGTTGCCATTACAACAACTTGCTCTTCGTTCTTATTTTCTCTCTTTGTGCTTGCAGCTGCAAAAAAATAATAATATCAATTTCAAAAATAGACTCCTGAGAAAATGTGTCCTTTATGTACCTCTCTATTGAAAAAATAATAATGTGATATATAAAATATTTTGTTTGAAAACAGTAGCTTATTAGATGCAGAATCTAAATTATGGCATTAACAGTACAATTTTCTGGGGTGGAAATGAACACTATACTACAGGTAAATTAAAGATTCAGCAACTACATTTGTCCAATGTTCAAAATTAATTAATATTAATCTTGGTTAGTATTCTCCCCCCACCCCACAATGTAGCACGTTAGTTTAGCCCAACCCTTTTGGCTACCTTATTATTCAACATTTTGTGAAGCAAGGGATTGCAGCAGTGGTGGGATTCAAAAAAAATTACTCCCAGTTCTGTGGGCGTAGGTTGGTGGGCGTGGTATGCTTGGTAGGCATGGTGTGGCTTGGTGGGCGTGGCAGGGGAAGGATACTATAAAATCTCCATTCCCTCTCCACTCCTGGGAGAAGGTTACTGCAAAATCCCATCCCCTCCCCACCCCACTAACCTGCTTTCCAGCTCCTTTCTCCTGTGCAGGGCAACAAAAGAAGACCCAGCCAATCAGCTGGGACCTGGGAGGCAGAGAATAGATGGGGGCGAGGCCACTCAGAGGTGGGATTTGCCGGTTCTCTGAACTACTCAAAATTTCTGCTACCGGTTCTCTAGAACCGGTCAGAACCGGCTGAATATCACCTCTGGATTACAGGGTCATTAAAAGAAAAAAAAAGTGTGTGATCCCACAACATAACTCTATTGTGAAAACACAGCTATAGCTTGTTACTTACCCAAGTTAGATACAAAGCAGTATAAAAAGATGATGGATAAATTCATACCACCACGTAGGGGAAACCATGGCATTTTGGAATCTGCTTTTCTGAGAAATTATCTGGAGAAAGAGAAGAGAGACAAAAAAAGAAACTCAGAGAATCTGACAGAAATGGCTTAAATGTTTTATTATTCCGCTAACAAAACATACCACTGCAATGAAAAGAGACACTACTACTTATTTTTAAAAAAAAAAAATCTAAAAAAATTAAGATGTGTAGCCAGAAACCCCTAACAAGCAATTCTGGTTTACAATAATAACGTTAGGAACACTGAAAAGCTTTTACTGACCACAGATGTCTTAAAGTCAAAATTCACTTGAATAAATTACAGTTCTTCAGTTTTGGTGTAACATGTCCAGATGCTGAGAAAGGAGACCTGAAGAGGTGTGTGTGTGTGTGTGTGTGTGTGTGTGTGTGTGTGTGTGTGTGAACAGTGGAGTTCCTCAAGGCTCAAACTTCACTATAGCAATAACAGTCTTTCTGGAAACAGATAGCATGGGTGAATGGGTGGATGGATGGATGGATTGAAACCTGTGACCTATCCTCAATCCTATTAGATTCCAAATAGTTTACAATACAGTTATATGCAATAAGTTATCGTCCCAAAGGTGCTTTTCCAAGAGGCAACTGGACTTTCAGGTTTTTCTTTGAAGATGTTTTGTTTCTCATCTAAGAAGCTTCTTCAGCTCTGAAGAAGCTTCTTGGATGAGAAGCGAAACAACTTCAAAGAAAAACCAGAAAGTCCAGTTGCCTCTTGAAAAAGCACCTTTGGGACAACCATGACCTGGATGACCGAGAATCTCCATAGACAATAAGGTATAGTAGAAGCAGTACAGAAGTATTAATCTAGTCGGCCTCGACTTACAACCAGAATTGTGACCAGAATTTCTGTAGCTAAGCAAGAGGGTTTTTAAGTTGTTAACAGTAACAATAGCACTTAGACTTATTTATCACTCTATGTCCGGGGTCCCCAGTCCCAGTCCATAGACTGGTACCAGTCCCCACAGAACCAGTCCCTGGTGCCCAAAAAGGTTGGGTGCCTCTGTTCTAAGCGGTTTACAGAGTCAGCCTATTGTCCCCAATAACCTGGGTCCTCATTTTATCGACCTCAGAAGGATGGAAAGCTGAGTCAACCTTGAGGAGGTCAGGGTCGTACTGCTGGCAGTGGGCAGAATTTGCCTGTGATACTGAAGACCATTGGTTTGAAATAGGGGTAAAAGAGGCAATTTATGTTAAAATTGAGCAGCCCTCTCTCAACAAAGGAGGAGGAATAAGACCAGAGGTGGTATATTCAGCAGCTTCTGACCAGTTCTGGAGAAATGGTAGTAGAAAATTTTGAGTAGTTCGGAGAACCGGCAAATGCCACCTCTGACTAGAGATTTTACAGTATCCTTCCCCTGCTGCACCCACAGAACCATGCCCACAGAACCAGGGGTGGAGTTCTACCGGTTCAGACCGGTTCTATAGAACCGGTTGTTATGATTCTGTGCAGTTTGGAGAACTGGAAAACCATGCCCCTGGCTGGCACCTCCCCTCCCAGTCAGTCCTTATTGCATATGCGCAACATTTTGCGCATGCCAGAGATCACTGACTGCATTCTTCCCCATACAGTAACTCCTTAAGGTATTTCTTTTTTTTTTTTCCCTTCCAGACAATCAGCTGTTCCTATGATCAGTTGGGCTGGGATTCCCCTCGCTTACTTACTGCTTTGCCCAGGAGGCTTCCTTGAAGCCCAAAAATGGGGGGGTTGCTGCCAAAAAAGGCCACACCCACCCAGCCACATGGCCACACCCACATAGCCATACCCACAGAACTGGTTGTTACAAAACTGCACAGAACCATTAGTAAAACAAAATTGAATCCCACCACTGGATAAGACACCACCTGGATAAGACATCACCCAGTCTTCTCAGCAGTCCCGCGGAGATTCCACCCCATTTGCACTCTGATACAGGTGACCCTGAGGGCAGAGATAAATCCCCAAGTGGCCCTAAGAGCTCTCAGAGAGAGTGCTAACGACCAGATGACTACAAAGAAATATGACCTCCCCTCCCCGTCTTGTCAGAACTAATCCTTCCATCACCTCCACCATCCTGCTAGAACCGAAGAAGCGTCTTGGATGAGAAGCAAAAGTTCTTCTTCCCCTTGGTGAAACCAACAGTTCCGTTGCCTTTTGAAAAAGCACCTTTGATACATTTCGTTTGCTCCTGGACTCTCATTCTTTGCTTTAATCCATGGTATGTACATGACAACATCACGTGCAGAAAGGGATAAAGAGGTTCACTGAAGGAGCATAAGGGAATGTCATTAATTCAAAGCAATTCAAAGGGAATCAACCCCTGCAGCAGGATAGTTAACTCAAGCTAATGGCCAATTGTGCGTGAGAAGGAAATACCTGTCCCTACCTCGGATTGAAATCTCAGCCTTTTGAGCGGGAGGCAGAAGTCTTGACTATTAGGCTATGATGCTACTTCTATACACACACACACACACACAGACACACACACACACACACACACACACACACATATACAGGTAGTCTTCGACTTACAACCACAGCTGAGCCCAAAATTTCTGTTGCTAGGGAAGAAATTGTTAAGTGAATTTTGCCCCATTTTATGATTTTTCTTGCCAAATTTGTTAAGTGACTCACTGCAATTTTTAAGTTAGTCACATGGTTGTTAAGTAAATCTGGCTTCCCCATTGATTTTGCTTATGAAAAGATTGCCAAAAAAAGGGGGGGATCATATGACCCTGGGACACTGCAATGGTCATAAAGAGGTGCCAGTTACCAAGTTTCTGAATTTTGATCCAATGA